ACTTTTTGCATTTAGTGATAGATGGCGCTGTTTTGAATACCAAATCGGTGTAGTTCCAAATTATTTTACCAAGATTATAACTATATTTTAAACTTTATTTACAAATATGGTTTTTGTTTGAAAAACACCCGTCATCCCGCCTATAACTAAGATATAATAGAAAATTAAAAGGAAATATAATACATAACCTTCCTTTTTTGAAGTTCTGTAATCGGATAAAATGTAGCCTATAAATTGTCCCGGGTTACTCACTACCTATATACAAAATTTCATGTAAATCGGTTCAGTAGTTTTTGCGTGAATCCGGAATTCACAGACAGACAGACAGACAGACAGAAAGACAGACAGACAAAATTCTAAAAACCACTAATTTGGCTTCAGAACTCTTTATTTAGTCCCCTGAACTTGTTTTTTCAAGAATATATTAGAATTACAGATATTAGAATTACAGATATTAGAATTACAGACACTACTTTTCTACAGATTTATTATATGTATAGATAAGAAATAATAAAAAAATATTGATGCAAGCGAAACCTTTTGTCTGCATTCAAGAAGGTACCAAAGGTAAGGGCCTCAAGCATGCGATTCACCTGATGGTGACTACCGCCGCCTATGAAACAACTGCAACACCAGGGGAATTGTAGATGCGTTGCCGGCCTTTTAAAAAGAGTAGGCTCTTTTCTTGAAGTTCCCTAACATTTATCGGTCCGGAAAAATCCCTGGTGGCAGTCGATTCCACAAGGAAGTTTTGTGCGAGGAAGAAAACTTATTGTAAATCGCACAGTGGCGGACCACCAATCATCCAGATGGTATGAATGGTATCGTGGGTTCTGTCGCAATGTGCAATGGTGAAGTTGAGCGGCTGCAATTAGTCCGAACAATTCCTCCGCATTATAAGCATTTTATAAAATAACTGACGAAAACAAAAAAAAAACAACAAAATGTCAATATAGCTGAATTTGCACGACGTCATATCGCAAATACTCACCGAGTCACGCAATAATTGAATGATACATATTTAATAGGACGTCGCGATTTAAATGCCTGCCTTTTGATCCTAGGTTCGATTCTCAACGGACAAAAACTGTCGCAAAGTCATCTATAGTGCCCGACAGAAAGTCGAAACCGAAGCTGAAGCCGAAGGCTTAAAAAAAACCTAAGAAATTCAGTTCAAGATAATATGCTAAAATTAATAATATGGATTATTTTAAAAGTTTTAAATTATATTAATTGTATAATATAAAAAGGTAATTTTAATCATCTCGAGAAGATATTTATATATAAAAATTACGTGTCACATTGTTTGTTCGCCGCTAAAGGCAGAACAACGTCTGCCTGGCCAGCTAGTCTAGAGATAAAAATTGCGTTCCCACGTCCAGTCATGCTATTCTGTAATGCAACACTTTCGTGTCTCGACAGCGGAATCCGCGGTGAGATCATAGATAAGAGTGTATATACGGAAAGGTGAGATATCAAATTCGTATTCTCTAAATCCCGACAGTGCCGGCAGCGCCACACTTGAGTGTGGCGACGTGACGAACCATATTGCGTGATAATGTTGACATTAATAGTATGAATTCGGTATTCTGCTATTCTGTAAAGGGATTTACCGCTTCACTCGTCGATATTCGACACTTATAACAACGAATTCATTTGTCATTTTTAAAGTGGTCTAAGAGCCTATCGAGATTGGTGTGCGAATTCATTTTAACTCATTAGTCCACCGTAGTTAAGTGTGTTACAGTATAAGAATTATAATAATTCGATAGGTATGTCTCGTTGGTTTTTTTAGAGAGTTTATTAGAAGAAGCACATTCCATAGATATCGCATGCTTAATGGAAAACTGACTTAACTCAAAAAAGACGATTTTTGGGAAATCGCAAAATAAGATCTTGCTATGAGGACTTATCCTACTTCTTGATGCATAAAAATAAAACTGATTTATATTATTTATGAATGCTTGTATTTTGAACGTCTATGATTAACTATTGATGAGATCCGAGTAAAAAAAATCGGAAATAAGTTCTATTTATTTTAAAAAAAATATTTTAAAAAGTACATTCTAAGTTATGTCAGTTTTTTATAAAAAGTAAAGCAAATATTTTAAAATGCAAATGTTCCAGTAAGTTTTAAGTCTGTTTCAGTTTGAATAATGTATTATTTATAATGACTAATTCAGTATTTAGTCTGTATATGATTACTGTAGTAAAAACATTTATAGATTGGGTCACTTTATTCAAAATTAACAGACCGTAAATAAACTTATATTGGCATTTTTTTAAATTAATTAAAAGACAAATATAATCATCAATCTTTATTGCAGCAACCTTCACAAGTAGCAGATAAAAATAACAAATTTAACGTATCAGTCTTATTAATGGGTTCTATACATCAACATATTATTAAAAATCAAGCCGGAAAATTTTTCCAATTGTACAAAAAAAAAAACGCTATAAAAATCTAAAAATTCTAATTTACGTTAAAAAAATAAACCCACTTTGGTGATCCAACCTATTTAATAAAACAATGTCATAATCAACTTTAGTTAAATCTCTATAAAACATAAAATATAAACTTCTAAAGCGAACAAAATTAAACTAAAGGAACCTTTTTCTAATTATCTTTGGAATGTCATCAGGTTAATCTCTAATATTTAATCACTTAAATAATAGAGTTATAAAAATCCGAATAAAAATTGGGGATCAATTTTTTTGATAATAGCTCTCTTAGATCTTTCTTTTTATTCTCATTTAGTTCCTGCTTATTCATGTAGACAGTTGGTACAATTTCACACAGAGGAAGCATTTTTTTCCTTTTATTTCTGACGCTCACTTCCTGGTATTCACTGTCTTTATACGAGGTTTTAACGAAAAATGAAAAAGGTGTATCTTTGCTCACTTTTATCACCTTTAATTCATTCCATAAAACAGTTCTCCCGTCTTTAGTTTTATTAAAATTACAACCCCAATCTTCTTGCAGTTTTTTCAAGTCTAAAAACGACTCAAATGTCAGTTCATGTACTGAAAATTTCTTGCCAGACTTCTTTGCGTTTTTAATTATGGCTACATATTGGTGAGGGGAATATATTGGACCGGATTTTAGGTTTTTTGTAATCTCCTTTTCTATGAGGCTATGTATATTATCACCCTCGTTTTGCGTATGACCTTTTATTAAGTATTTTTGAATTATAGATTTAATATTTAGATGAGTGACTGCATACAGGTAAAGTGCTACTATAAATTTATTTTTATTTTGACCGGCACAGTTGTCCGAATAAAGAATTAAAATACACCCATTGTCATTTGGTGACTTCGCTGAGAGTTTCTCAAAAACTTTTAGCAAACAAGATCCGATTTCATTGGCCCCGCGCTTAGCATCGGTTTCGTTCCTGAAGAAGCAGTGTACATCATCATACGAGTCTTTAATTTGGCCGTCAACTTTTTTATTTAACATCGTAATTGTGAAATTGTAACTATTCAATTTTGATTTGTAATAAAATCCTGAGGTATCTCCTCTAGGAGATTGCAGAACAGCTTGCAGATCAAACACAAGAACTTTATTGTTATCGTCTATTTTGCAGCGATCATACTGTTTTTCTTGGCGGCTCAATGTTTTTTCTTCTAAATGGGCATCGTGCGATTCTTTGAGCAATACTTTTTGTTCAGGCGTCGAGTTCTTGTATTGCAAACATAAATCACATTGATCTTTTCTGGGACGAGAAAATGAAATATTATAATCTTGTGTAAATACTTTATAAAATGTGCAATATCTACCAGCTGCTTTGTTATTTTTAATTTGATTTTCTTTAAAGTCCCTGAAAAGATCTGAAATTGTTTTCCTACCATCAATATATTCACGAGTAGAATATTGCCTAATATAATGGGATTCAATTCTTGGTATTGCATCTATGAACTGTTTGATATCGTTTAGTAACTGTTCATCAACCCTTACATGGTTGTTGTGCTGTCCTCTCAGATCTCGTGCTAGAATTCCATGTTCATCTATTTTACTCTTGACAGTAGGTATAACACGATCAGAAATATCTAAGGTTTTCATAAAAAACGTTTTACAGACTCGTACCGATTGCCCTTCTACTAAGAAATAGAATGCTTGATTGCAATTTCTTGGATTACGAGCATTTGTATATTTATATTTTGGAGTTATATTTGTCATACACGACATAATAAATGATCTTTGAGCATCAACTTGGCCGAGATTCCAATACACATCAAAATTGTTTGTCTTTGATCTACAGTTATCTTTTTACAGCATTTGAGCCTACATTTATCACCACAGGGTGGTTGAAAAGAACGAGGTTTGATTTGTTTTTTTTTTCTTGCTAATGTATGGTTTTCCAGCATTTCTCAGACTTTTAGCTTCATTCTGTTTCCAGCTTTGTTCATTCCGTTTACGTTTCCTTCCCTTCTTCTTTTCTTCTTGTGGTGTAGTATTTTCTCCGACTTCTCAATTCAGCGAAACTTCTGTTGTTGCAGGTTCATTAATGTTTTTTTTTTTTTTTTTTTTTATTTTTTTTTTTTTTTTTCATTAAAAACGTTATCCCCACACTAGGATTTTCTCCTGTATCGTGGAGGCAGTTTACAAACACAAATTGCACAAGGACAAACATCCAGACCCGGAACAATTATTTGTAGGCCATACAAATACTTGTTCCGTGCGGGATTCGAACCCGCGGCCCCCAGCGCAGCAACTCATTACTAAGCCACTGCGCCATGGAGCCGTCATCATTTATTAGCTTAGCATCATCCGTTTATTAGCTCGGATTGTTTTTCTGCGGTTACCTGAACTATGTTATCTTGTGTTTTGTTCTGTTCATCACTAGAGTCTGTTTCGGAACTATCACTGGAAGATCCTGAAGATGATGAGGATGAAGAAGACGTAGAAGATGAGGAACTTTTAGATGATTTTGATCGCCTTTGATATACTGGTATTTGCCATTGCTTATTAGACGGAACTTTGTATGTTGGAGCTTCGTCACTTAAATCGACATCGCTATTTTCAGATTTTGAATGTCTCCCATCAGTGCAATCCTGAATAACTGTGATGTTATGAAGATGATTTTCATTACTGACTGAAGCCGATTCCAAAATTTCAAAATATTGCTGTACGTTGAGTAACGCTGATTTTCGGGCTTGTTTGTTATATCAGCTAACATCTATAACAAAAAAAACGTATTTTAGTAGTAATAAAATAAATAAGAGATTAATACAAACCTAATTTTTATAGTTATTTGAAATTGTTACCTTCACTTCAGTTGATGGCACCGATTCATGTTCTCTAACTTGTGTTGCCCGTTGTGGCGCCGGCTTTCGAAGCTGAACAAGCTCTATCATCTTTTTCGACCTGTTGGATGCCATTGTCAACCTAAAACATAAATAGTAATATTATGCCTCTTGTACAAAATTTAGACCAACAATGACTTAACATAAAACATTTACAGGCAATGAAAAAATTACGCATTATATTACATTAATTTTTTTTCAAACAAAGACTTAGCTAATATTGCGGCTCTTATGTAACAATAACCTTCAGTAATAAACAGACTTAAACTTGAATGTTACAAAGTGTTACCTTTTATAATTGATAGGTTTTAATAGTAAACCGACTTAACTCGTAATGAGCCTCGAAAAGTATAACAACGTTCAATGATAAACTGGCTTAAAACTGAATGTTTCACATAATATATCAATAAAATATGTAGTAAACTGACCTAAAATTTAATTTGTCAATATAAGATTACACGATTTGATGAAACTTACCTTTGAATTTAGTTGTAAACACACGCAACAACGATTGGGTCTTCGTTCAATAAAATAATTATCGCCTCACTACACAGATGTCGGACACCAAAGAGTATAGTAACTGTCCTATACAGGAAAGTGACAGTTAACCGATGTTTATCCTATAGATAACTTTATTGAATCAATAGCTAATGGGAAGATAACTAGGGACTTCAGAAACCGGGCATAAGTATTATAAATTATAATATAGTTTATTTGCAAAATGAGTATATTTAATTTATAATAGATATAATATGGCCCCTAAAAGGGCTCCGATGAGGTGCTAGGCTAGCCTAGGGCGCAGTCGTCATTTTTTCCGTCTCTGCCTCCGGACTAGATAGAGTGACCTGAAAGTGTACTTCGATGAATGCTACTGGAACTCCTCGAAGAGTAGAACTAGGTTTGCCGAGTTTGGCCTCGTTTAGTTAGGTATGATGAGACCTTACCTCGATGGACTTGAAAGAGTGATCTGAAGGTGTACTTCGATGACTGCTACTGGAACTCCTCGACGAGTAGTAATAGGTGTGCCAATTTTGGGCTACGATGACACCTTACCTCCGGACTTGATAGAGTGACTTGAAGGTGGACTTTGATGAAATTTTGTTTTGGACAAAAGATAGGTATTACCTATCCAAATATAATTTAAGACTGATAGCAAATGTGCTATCTTATTATTTACTTTTTAACTCAGCCAAGTGTTTGGCTACCAAGACTGCTTTTATTGAGCATAATCATTTGACATTTAATTTGGAATCAGTTCCAACTAATTTAAATTAGTGAATGTGACAATAGAGGCAATCTCTAGCAATAATAAGAGTTTAATTAATTTTGAATACAGCCCACAAATAAGTAATAAAAATTGTTTACACATGGTGCATCAAAATATACTAGGCATGTTGGGCAAAGAATTGGAAGTTGAATTGTTTTTAAATAGTAACAATATACACATCCTTTGTATTACTGAACATTGGCTAAAAGATTATAATTTCATGTTTAATTTCAGAAATCACCAGGTGGTCAGTTCCTTCAATAGAGAAAAAAGTTTACGTGGTGGCTCCTTAATATTAGCAGATAAATCATTATTATATAAAGAACGTAAGGATATTGTGAGCTTCTCTGTTGAACGAACTGTAGAAATGGCTTGTGTCGAGCTCGAGCACCTCATTGTTGTGAGTGTTTACAGACCCCCATGTGCTACTTATGACCATTTTGAAAGGATTGTGGAAGAAGTTTTACTCAAACTTAGTAAACAGAACAAGTCTGTTGTAATGTGTGGAGACTTTAATATCAATCTCCTTGAAACTTCTTCCATTAGTATTAAGTTTCGCTCATTGTTTAAATCGTATAATCTTGTAAATTTATTCTTAGAACCAATACGTATTGCTGGGCCTAGTGCGACCTGTATAGATAACATTTTTACAGATGTTAAGCCCTTGCATAAATCAATTATTCAAAATTTAAGTTCAGATCACTGTGGACAGTTAGTATCACTACCTTACATACACAAAAAACAGAAAAATAAGAAAGTTGTGTTTGTTCCAATAAATGAACATCGCTTGAAGAGGTTTAGAAGTAATATAATAAAAAGACTTCCATCACTTTCGTTTAAAAATAGTGCTAATTATTTGTATGCTACATTATTTGAAATCATACGTTGTGAATTTAGTAGAATATTTACTTCTAAAACTTTCTCTCTTAACAGTCGCAAATCATTTAATGAATGGGCGACAGTAGGAATTTATAAAAGTAGGCGAAGGTTATACGAGCTTTATGATGAAAGATCATATAATAGTAGTGTTATATTTAGAGATTATGTAAAAACATATTCTAAAATATTTAAAAAAGTGTGCTCCACTGCTAAGGCTTTACATTTAAGCAACAAAATTAAAACTGCATGCGACAAAATTAAAATGACCTGGAGAATAATAAATAGTGAAACGGGCAAGGTCAAACCGCGGAACTCGGATTTTCAATTAAATATTAACAATAATTTAACGCGATCTGATCAAGAAGTTGCTATGGCTTTTGAGAAACATTTTACTGATGTTCCTTTTTTGACAACAAAATCATTAAATTCTTCTCCTACTGTCGCCGAATCATTGCTCAAACAAAATGTAAAGGCTTGTTCAAATACTTTTAAATTCAGGGTACTGCCAAAAGATATCGTTAAATATTTTAAAACTATTGATGTTAAGAAAACGGCAGACTTATGGGGGATTTCCGTTAAAGTTATTTTATCTATAATAGATACATTAGCACCTTATCTAGCCACTACATTTAATATAAGCGTCGAATCTGGTGTGTTTCCTGATTTAATGAAACATAGTAAAGTCATACCTATATTTAAATCTGGTAGTACATTAGACCCCGCCAATTTTAGACCAATTTCTGTACTACCAACATTAAGTAAAATTTTTGAAAAAATTATTTTAGACCAGATGTTAAGTTTCTTCAATATTAATAAATTGCTACATAAAAATCAATTCGGTTTTACAAGGGGTCGCTCGACAACTGACGCTGGAGTTGAGCTTATTAAACATATTTTTTGTGCATGGGAGAATTCAGAGGATGCTTTGGGTATATTTTGTGACCTTTCCAAGGCCTTCGACTGTGTTCACCATGAGATATTAATCAGGAAGCTACAGTACTATGGTGTCAAGAACACAGCGCTTAAACTTATTATTTCATATTTAAGTAATAGAAAACAGAAGGTTATTATCAATGGTAAAAGTTCTTCCGGGTCACCTGTACTAATGGGTGTTCCTCAGGGCTCGATTCTCGGCCCATTCCTGTTTCTGGTGTATATTAATGACTTACCTCACCTTGTAGAGGATAGTCATGATATAGTATTATTTGCTGATGTTACTTCCTTGATTTTTAAACTTAAACGTCAATCATTTAAATGTGACGAAGTGAATAATGCTATATCAAAATTAGTGCATTGGTTTAACGTTAATAATCTGCATTTGAACGGAAATAAAACTAATTGTGTTAAATTTACAACAACGAATGTTAAAAATCTTAATACCAATGTGTTTTTAAATGGGGAGGAATTGAGCCCTGTTGTATCCACTGTTTATCTTGGCATCACTCTTGACGCAAAGCTACAGTGGGGCCCCCATATATCCAAATTAGCAAGCAGACTAAGTTCTGCAGCCTATGCCGTAAAAAAGATTAGAGGTCTCACTAGTGTCGAGACAGCTAGATTAGTTTATTTTAATTATTTTCATAGCATAATGTCTTATGGGATTTTGCTATGGGGAAATGCGGCTGATTCAGAAACTATTTTTGTTTTACAGAAGAGGGCCATTAGAGCTATTTACAATCTAAAACCGAGAGAGTCCCTTAGAGATAAATTTAAAGAAATTAATATATTAACTTTGGCCTCTCAGTATATTTACGAAAATTTAATGTATGTTCACAAAAACAAAGATAGTTTTAGTAAAAGAAGTGATATACATTCTGTAAACACTAGGAACAAACACAAGCTAGTGATACCAGTTTCTCGACTCCACAGAGTCAGTAATTCATTCTTGGGGCAATGTATACGCTATTACAACAAGGTCCCGGAAAGTGTACAGGTTCTCTCTATTACCAAGTTTAAATGTTTTATTAAGCTGAAACTGTATAAAAAGGGTTATTATAGTATAAATGAATACATGGTTGATAATAACCCCTGCGAATGAGGTGATCGCTTCCAAGCAGTTTCTAAAATAAATTTTGTAAATAGTTCGTAATCATTTTTATTGTAAAATTTATTTTAAAAAAAAGTCCCGCTGGGTTTCTTGCTGGTTCTTCCCAGGACAGAGGGTTTTTTCGAACCAGTGGTAAAGTAAAAAATGACTATCAATAAGAATTACACATGTAATGTATATTGAATAAAAAATATTCTATTCTATTCTATTCTAAAATGCTACTGGAACTCTTTGACAAATAGAACTACATTTTATATTTTTTTTCACGGTCATATGAGCATTATGAGTCGTGCACTTTTGGATTTTCCTAGCTTTTTTAAATTGAAATTTGACATAAAATTATCGGAAAATTTGAAGTATAGTTAAAATTATAAGGTTTTTATTGAAAACTTGTGTGTAATTAAACTACTTTAAAAATTTACGTATAAACATGTTATACGTAATTTTCCGAATGCGCTTAAGGTATGCACAATTGGATTTACCAATAGTTTTATTTATTTTATTTATTACGACATAAGAATAATTATTATACTTCGAAATTCAGCCCAGGTTACGTCGTCGACCAAAACGACGCGGCACTCATGTAGTGCGTATGGGTTATGACAGATGCTATAGAAGAAGTTATAAGTGAAATTTTTAGTTCCTTACTTTTGAAGTCATTGTAAACGTTAGTTAAACTGGTAGAAGTATGATCCGAAGAGTCCAAGGAGGGATACAAATGAGCCACAATTTTGATTTTATATAAAAAATTTGGAATAATTTTCCCCTTTTTTTTAATGATAAATAGTTTTTTTATAATTGCATTCCTTTGGGGAATTTCCGATCAACTTGTTATGTGATAGTGCCAAGATATTCATCATGAACGTTCTTTTATTACAAACT